AAATCCAACTCTTTCTTTCTCTTTCTCTCTCTCTCTCTCTCTGTCTCTCTCATAACTTCTTCCTTGATTATACGGTACATCTATAAATTACATACCATTGTTTGAACCGTTTCGTATGCAGTAGCAGACAGATTGCTCTTTCTTTTATGAGTTTAGGAACTCATTGACCTATCGAGTTTAGGAACGTCTTGAAATAAACAAGAATCTCTGCTTATGAACATGCGCATTGACGAGCAGATGAACATTATGTATAAGGTGCCAAATAAGTTGAAACAGCAACAGTTATTGACACATGTATGTATATGCAAGTGGCAATTTGTGGACGTATGAAACGAATGCGTTTAACCGAAAATATCTAGTAATTCTTGGTCTAATAAACGTTCGGGTATTAATGAAGCAGCGTGTGTGTAAAGAGCTTACCTAGACTTAGAGATTATTTGAATTGAGTTTTAACTCTTGGCGCTGAAAGAACGGCGTAGCGGCCTCACATTTAAAATTTCTTGTAAAATATAGAAAAACTCTGAATCTAAAAGCAAAGGTCGAAAACATACATGATAGATATGTGTAATTATTAAATGTATGATGTGTGAATATTATTAAATCACGTATAATGTTTATGTTTATTTTACGATGACATCTTTCTTTTCACGTACGATTAACAGCGACATAGCTTTCACTGGTCCTTTTATTTATTCCTTGGTTCTTCAAAGCCGAATGAGATGTTTATATCATCAGTTCAAATTAGCCATAACTAATTTTGAAATTGGGTTGCAGCTTGAAAAGTGTCATCGTAGCGTTTTCTAAATTTTATAAGAAATTTTGGGTAGTATCGTTGCGGGTATTCTTCGGGAAGTTAATTCGACATTCAACGACAAAGAAGTTACATGCAATGCTGAAAAGAACGGAAAGTTACACGCGATGTCGCCTCCTGGACATTTTCGCATCGCGCGTATGTACGCCAAAATCTATCAAGTACAGTGATTCGCGTTAATAAGCCGATAGATGTTAATCGAATGTCCGTTGCAACGTGTAACGGTCGGGAATCCATTTACGAGGCGGCGTTTCGTCGATATTCGATTTAACGATACGGTTCGACGCATTCGTTCGGAGGGCGTCGTATTAGTTACCATTATCGAAACAACCAACTAGGATGACAGCCATTAAAACCACGGGCCAGCTGCTTCCCTTCGTGGAGTTCCCTCATGGTTTGGAAGACCCCACGATGCATCGTGCATTATAATTAACCGTACAGGGACCTCGCCGTGCCACCCCCGTATTCGTGATCGTACCGACCTACGTATAAGCACGAGCGAGCTGCCCACCTACATCGAAAAAAAAATCGAGTAAAAAAGAACCAAGTCTCAGGGTTGCGCACATCTTGTTACGTAAACTGCAATCGAGTCAAATTGAAGAGAAATTGAGTCGGATCGATAATCTGACGTAGGAATCGAAGTTGCGACAAAATTGAATCAATGATATGAAGTTAACGAAACTGAAAAATATATAAAATTGTACACAAAACTGTAACACATAAAACTGTAATACATAAAACTGCAACACATAAAAATATATAAATTGATATGATACCGATATTTTTTCAGCTGCTAAGAGGTTCATCTAACCGCACGATAGGAATGCTTCTATTTTTGGCGGAAAGTTACGTAAACTAGAAAATCAACTACATTGAAAATAATCTGATGTCGGAATATGTGAACTGCAAAAATTTAGTCAACGATATAAAATTGACAAAAATTGAAAATCGTACTTGTATGATACACATATTTTTTCAATTACTAAGAGGTTTATCTAACTGCACAATACGAGTGATTCTATTTTTGGTGGAAGGTTAGGTAAATCAGGTAGTCGTATATATTGAAAAAATCAACTAAAAATATCAAGTCTCATGGTTATGTATATTTTATTGCGCAAACTGCAGTCGAGTCGAATTAAAGAGAAATCGAGTTAGATCAACTATCTAACTATCTAGGAATTTAAATTACAAAATTTAAAAGCATGTTTATATGTATTATGCAGATATTTTAATAACCGTCAAAAGGTTTATCAAACTGCATAATGCGATTGATTGTATTTCTGGTAGAAGGTTAAATAAACTAGACGATAAATAGGAAATTCGCGCGTCAGACATGCGTGTTGTGTATTGAAATGTATTGGGAATGTATTGAAATAATTTTATGCTTGCTTCGTTAAATCAAAGAGAGAGAGAGAGAGAGAGAGAGAGAGAGAGAGAGAGAGAGAGTATTAATAAAACCGCTTTTTTGTCGATATCGAATTTTCTGAAAAATTATGTTTATCTATTAGTTGAAACTCTGAATATTTCAGAAAAATTAAGTTTTCTTAAACTACGTAATGTTTTGTTGTGTCGGAAGATGCACTCATCACGTCTTATACCGAATAATCCATTAATTTCATTGCTTTTTCTTTTATTGTTTAAGAAGAGAAGAAGAACAATCAGAACATATTTGTAATACATAAAACACATGTTTTTATATCATTTATAAAAAGGCTTATGAAATATATTTTTGATTTATTTTATGCAGTTTCACATTAATTTTTGTTTTCTCTTTTTTATGACAAACATAATTACTAACTGTAACACATGAGAGCACATTGCAAGCTTTTTTCTAAAACATTGCGTTGTCTAGAAAAAATAAAAGTAAGTAAAAAAGAAAATTTTGGCGTACAAAGGATTCAAGGGTTAAACTACTAGACTAACATACTTTTTAAAGGATTTGAGATTTTTGAATAGACAGAAAACGGCTGTGTTGAACTTCCTATTTTGAGCTTATTTGTTGACACAAACAAAAGATTTACAAAGTCTTTAAAATTTCATTGAAAAAATCAGGGCAATTAATTCACCTATATAATCCTGAAGTTGAGTTCGTTTAATCAAGGGGTTCAATCAACTGAATTCAAGTCGAGACGTTTAAAGTCATTTTTTGTTTTTAACATTGAACTTCATTGAAAGTTTTAATATTTATTTTAAGTTAACAGCGTGTGTGTATAAATGTAAAAACTTTATTGAAGGTTAAAGATTAGTTCAAAAAGTTTTACATAGATTAATTCAAAAGTTTTAGATAAGAGCAGAGAAAAAGATTTAAACATTTTAATGCATTTTTTGAGTGAAGTTAAATTTTCTTATTGAATATCGTTTTAAAATGTATAAAAAAAGTGTTCGCACCTTTTTATGTCAGACGTATTCTAACTGCTGTAAAAAATGTAGCTGCATTGTGCTTCTTTATTGTGCTTCTTTAAAGCTGCATCTTTCAAAATTGTTTTCTTGTGTTTCCTAATAAATGGCACATTGTTTACGTAATAATAAGATAGATCAGGCAGATTTCAATGCTACAGTGATGTCGCACGTGGGTGCACGGCAACCACGAGTTTCCATGTTACCCTGCACTTTACCCCCATGTGCGTATCGCGATTACCATGGCACGCGTCCAGGTGGATGTTACAGAATGTCCGTTACAAAACGCGATTCGTGCTGCTCAGCTGCCTAATTTTCGATGATTCCGACTCGGTTTCCACGTGTCGATGAACCGCCAGATAATGTCGACTCGCCTGTCGCTTCCTAACGTTCGCGTAACGTATCATTAATTTAAATGGCCCAATATACGATGAGCCAAATAGGACGAATTTTGTGGCAATATGTAATGCCGATGCAAAGTGGCTGTCGCTTCAATCAATCGGCGTTTGGATGTCCGCTCATTGAATTAATTTTATATTATTTATCGAATTAATTGAGAGGAGAGAAGAAGGGGAGAGAGAGAGAGAGAGAGAGAGAGAGAGAGAGAGAGGAAAAGGGAAGGGAACATATGTGATATTATATAAACACTAAAAGCCTGCGTTCCGCTGTTCGTTCAATTATGAAATACCAAATGAATTACAGAGGAAGAGAAATATGTAGGATACATGGATCACATAATTGTTCTTATTAAGCTGTAAGAGGAAAGGAGAGAGAGAAAAGAGAGAACATTAAGGAATAGCATAGGAGGAAGCAGAAAAGACAAATAAGATCATAATTATAACGTATTAGTTTATGCGGGACAATTTGTATAAGTTTTTATGCATTTTGAAACGCAGCCAACGTCCAACGAAAGAATTTATTTCGGAATAATTTTTGTATGATAGGTTTTCTCGTTGAGAAGAAAAGGTATTCAAATCAGTTTTGCAAACCAGTGTACACGAACCGGCACACAATAACCTTGACATCTAGTGACGTCATATTAACTAGTAGCAGTCATCGAAACATTCGCATCGCATCGACGGTTCGTCCATCAAGTGATCATTCAAGCAGGGAACGAAAATAATAACTTGTTTTTGAGAAATTCCTAGATGTATTTTCTCATAGGATGTCAAATGCATTCCGAAATGTATTGAAAAGAAAGTATATCAATCTTTATGTCTACAATTGTACGTTAAGCTTCAATAATTTTCATATTTACCAGCAAGATATACTAATAAAATAATGAAAAAAGAATAATGAAAAAAGAATAATTGAAATTCACTCTTAATCGCTCCCATGTCTAAATGTAATATAATATTTATCGTCGAATTGATAATTTTTAACCAAAGAATATCGACAAATATTATTGATTTTTTATTGATTCAACAGCCATAATATACACTCTTAGACACAACAAGACGATTAGAAAAACTAATGAGTTTGGACCTAGGGAATATTCCGATGTGTTTTGGAACTTTTGTTTTCGATACAGTTCGGGATGCAATCGATGTTCAATGAGAGAACATATCTTTGTATGTTTCTGACTATAAGATACAACTTTAACATAAAAAACTACAATAATAGATTATTGATTTGACGCACCATGTTTTTTTTAAATAATCAATCAATAATAAGCAACGATACCAATAATACGTACGATTAGAAAATCTCGATAACCTAACCTAGTCGACACATTAAAGTTACTCCGCCGGTCGATGTGCGATAAAGGTGAGAAATAAAAGCAACACAGATATGAATGAAAGCACGATAGTTTATTATTCGTTAAATTACTAAATGACTAGAAGAGTTTCTTAATCCTAAACCGATATAGGAATTTCTCCTGTCTCTCGCGTAACGAGAGTGCGGAGCTGCGAGTTGGCGTTTTATAATCGGTAGTCTTTGGAGGTGCTGCATCGCCGCTTCTTCCAGGAAGCGACCGTTTCAGGCTTTCGATGGACTATTCTTGCTGATAAGGAATCTCTAACAGACGCGACGCGAAATCCGTCAGAAGCTGTCAACACGACGGTGAATCGCGAGTGCTCGGGCTGTCGAGGGGAGCGAGAACTCCAACCCGAGCGCGTTCCAAGTCGAGACGATGATTCATCGATCGTAAAAAACGACCATTTCAGGCGGAAATGGCGATTATACTACGATAGTGAGTCCATCTAGACCTCCATAAGTCTAAACATAATTCGAATTATTTACAGAATTCAATTAATATACCTCGATCGCGCGATTAACTATAAGAGGAATTACCTCAACAACTCGATGATAATAACGCTCGGAAATGGCGAGGGAATAAATATGTAAGTTCTGGTAGCATAGATAAAGTCTGATGTACATAAGCGACCGTTAAAGATGCATGTTTCACTTCGACGCCATCGTCTTCTTCGGCGACATTATCTTCTTCGGCGACATCGTCTTCGCCGCCGATGCGATCGCCGTCATTGTAGATGTCTTCGGCGCCTTCGACGACTCCACATTCTGTTGCTTCGACACGTCCACCGAAGACGTCAAAGGTTTTTTGCTCACGTCGCACATCTTTCGAGCTCGCCAGTACTCTGCAACAGGAAAAGCAACGGGAATATATAAATAACGCGTTTCTTGGTCGTCAGGATTGCGACAATCCTAGCAGATGTTTAGAATGTTTGACTGATCGGACAACTCGAACGATTGAAACAGCTTGTTTTCATGGAATAGTTGTCTTCGAAAGAGTTTTGTGCTTGTACATTTACCAAAATTCTAAATTTTACTCCTTAAGTTTCCGATTTAGTTGCACAAGTGGTTACTTAAAAAAACACATATGTGTACATATAAAAAATACCTATCGTTATATATATTAGTAAATTGTTAGAAAAACCAACCAAATAGTAAGCATGTCGTGATAAGAAACATAACGATATAATATGACAAGAATATGATAAGCTATCTACTCGCTTCACCCGATGCGTGCATTGTACGGTGCAACCGTGTATATTAAGCTTCAACGAAGCCTCTTAACATTACTTACATTACTATTCATTAAGCCGAGACTCATTACCCCTTCAAGTCTTTTTCAATTATTCCCATCTCGTGCCCGGATAGAATACGATACGATATGGCACGATATAGTATATGACGTTTATACGACGTGATATAATACGATGTATGATATGGTACTGAATATAATATGAAACGATATGATGACACGTCAAGTATTCAAAATGGCAGATTAGCCGTACAAGCTCGCCAGTCTTTCTAATTGTTTGCATTGTGTCTGGATGTGCGTATACACTGTGTCTGTTGATTACTCGACTCGTCTGTCATTTTGATAATTTGACACGTCACACCATACATTGTACGGGAGCAATCAGAAGGACTAGCAGGTATTGCCTCAGCAAATGCTGAAGCTTTATTGAAGCTCAGTGCGCTTGAGGCCGTGAATTGCGTGAAAGTAACGAGAACGTTCCCTCGTGCTTCAGCGGCGACTCACGAGATTGAACAGAGTCACCGAGGTCATCTCGTTACGACGCTGCGTAACCTGTATGAGAGCATCTCGCGGGAGCAGCGTGAAATTTCCACACAAAGACTACACACGGACGCAACATCGTCTTAAGGGCACCCTACTTTCGATCAGGTAGCCATCTGAGCGCTCTACCCTCGTTTCCTTTTATATTCCGTCTTTTTCTCCCTTTTTTCTTTCTTCGCCGACTGACAGGTGCGATCTAACGTTCGCCGTACCGGTTTGGCGAAATCTCCTCGTGTCTACGAGCTTCGATAGAAATACGGAAAGATGTATGTGCGCGTGCTCGTCCGCGAGAGACAAGGTTTTAACACGTCGGATTGGCTCTGCGTAAACACTGCTCAGGGTACTTTGGTGTTTCTCTCAAACAGATTTTCCTTCCCTTCCGTTTGCGACGCAGTTTTACGGTCGCAGGGTGGATCTCATCGGGTGGATTACCGCGCCCGAAATTATCCTTGTAAACACAACTCTCCTCTACTGGCTTGAGAGAGCTTGACAGAGAAGGAGGGGGGGGGGAAGGTGGTCCAAGTGCCGAAAAATGGCGTATCGCGTTGCTCTGACTTGATAACAAAAACAGGCCAAAGAGAGGGAGAGAAAAGCGACGAGAAAAAATCCACGAAACGGCCATATGTCGAGGACACGATCCTTTCTCTACGTTTCTCTCTTCTTAGTATCGGTTCGCCATATGGCGCGCGAAACCAAACTCTTCCTCGACCGGCGCTCCTCTTTCTCCCGCTCTTCCTTTTCTCCTCTTTTCTCTCCTCCTCGCACCTTTTTCCCGGAGCACAAGTCGCGTTCGCGATTTCGCTCGCCGACATCTGCTTCCACGTGCATCGACGTGCCGCGAGGCAGATCCTAGACGTGCGTCCTGGAAGGCGTCCCGAACGCCTACCTGTCCATATGTCCCTCCGGCGGGACTGAGCCCTGGAAATTCCTCTTTGTTTGCGGATCCGAGCGCGGCACTCCCGCGTCTATGGCGCGTTTTCATCCGGGCTAAGAAGAATGTCCCGCGGACCAGTGTTCGAGGCGTCCCCGATTTTTCGGGAAAGCCGTACCACGCGAGCACTTTAATTCGTGATCGAGGGTGGCTTTTGTCGATCTCTCGTCGTCGTTGGGACCCGGAGAACCGTGGGTCGTATTCTACTACCATCATGACGCGGGAAATAATGTGCTGCGACTGCTCTTCGTTTTCGCGATAGGATCTGTGCGCGTCTGTATATTTTCCTCGGCTCGGTTGTACGAGAAAAGGATGCTTTTTTTTCTGCCCAATCGTTGCCACGAAAGATGGAAGTTCAAACTGTCCTTCCAATGAGGGACGTGTCGATCTTGTGTAGGGACGTAACGCTCGCTTTAGCCTCACATCAGCTGCTTCGACGAAGTCTTAAAGGGAAGATGCTGATAAGAGAAGACGTCGTCGATGGTTGCTTTGTGTCAATGAGCACCGACGACATCCAAGGTCCGTAAATAGAGGAACGGAACAAAGTTAGGTCCTCTCACGGCCGCCATTTTGGAGAATCTGTGTTGGTGTACGTGATACTATGTGTAATATTATGGTTTAGTTGTGTGAATGAACAGAGTAATCAAAACATAGTTTAAGATGTAATCAGAAATAATCAAAACATAGTTTAAACATATCCCAAAATACCAGTGAGAATTTTCAGAAGAAAAACAATTACAATGCCGACTGTAGTATAAAAAGTTCCAAAAAACGAAAATAATTTTTGACCTGACGGTATGTGGTTAATCAGCTGAGCCACGATCGCCGCCATTTTCGAGCCAAACCGTGTGAAGTAGATGAAAGGATCTAACTTTGTTCCGTTCCTCTATTGACGACACCTTGCTTCTCAGTTCATTAGATGAGCGAGTGAGACGCATTTCGCCAGTCCTTCGCCGCCATCTCTAGACTACTTGCACTGAGAGCGCAGCTTATCCCAGCAGGTGGTGCGTGACCTTCGTAAGGTCTCGTGGCACGGTATCGCGTGTTCGCGAGTCTGATTTAATCGTGGGAAGAGAGACACTAGTCGTCATGGGCCCGTAGGAAGGGCTAACAGGTGTCGGTGGAAAAAGACCTGGTTGAGCCGCACTACGTCGTACCGCTTCGTTGAATTTTCGAGGGTCTCGTGTTGTCGCGTCCCTGCTCAAGGAGTCACGTTGTAGAAAATTATCAGGACGGATTATAGGCATGGGATCGCGGCTGAGGAGCTTGAAAAAAGTAAGTTTTCGGTACCCTTCGGTACGATGACCGAGTTCGAATGAACGAGGAACTGTTCCAGTTGCGCGTGCACTACAGTGAATAAGAATCAACCGATCAAAGATAGTAGTTGGGTTAGGTTAGATTGGGGCAGGTTCGACTAATTTAATCGGTTTATGTCCAGTTGGTACATATGCGATCGCGAACATAAAGAATTGATACACTTTTTGTTCGATGCACTTCGAAACGCAGCCAATGGAAAAGCTTATTTTCAAGAAATTCTTCGGCTCGTTCGCTTTGGACGATATTTCATGCTGAAAGGGTCATTCTATTTTCTTTCGATACATGCAATGAATATTAATAAAGATAAAATAATGTAATCGGCGTGAAAACGTCCCAAGCGAACGCAGTTTCAAAGATTGGATTCCCATATTAAATGTTTAAACATTGTGTTCTGAAATGCGTCAAAAACGTGTCCGAATTTGTACACTGCGGTCATAAACGTCGACGTACGTTTCTTTCGATGTATTTCGGCGCACAGTCGACGTCCAATGGACAAATTAGTTTTCGAGAATTCTCGGATGAGTTTCCTCATTGATTGTTAGATGTGTGTTCCGAAATGCACCGAAAAAAAGGGTGCGCATCAACATTCGCGGCCGCGACTGTATACAAGTAGAAAGGTTTGCACACTTTTTCATTCGATACACAAATTTATTCTCTGTAGATCACTCGGAAGCGCATTCTGTTATCGGCCGTGTTTCGAAATGCATCGAGAAGATACTCAAGCTTTTAAGTGATGCAACACACTCTGTCGCGACATCTCGCCGATCGTTTTCGAGTCAACGAGATTCTAATTCTACCTTCAACGAAAATCGTCATTCCAGTGTCTCGCATGCGAGAACATGCAAAATATTGCACACCTTGGTCGAAAAAATATGTCCATTGTGCGCAATGCTCCATGCGACAATCGAGCGAGCAGTCACACACGGCTATGTCAGAGCCGAAGAATCCAAGGAATGCGATCGCGAGTTCGTCTTACTCCTTAGAATTTAGGGCCCTTTCGATGACTCACGACGAGACCCTTCAGGTACTTCGCGCCGCTCGCCACGAAAGTATGATTCACGAGAGTGATTCACTTTTAATCGTAGCCTTCGACGCCAGCGCGTCGTTGCACCCCGCGCAAACCCAGCAAGCAGACTTTCTCACGATCATACGCCATGCGTTCCTCTCTTTATCTGTCTTCTCTCTCGCTCCCGTGATAACACGAGCACTTTCTTCCGCATGTACATTTGGTCGCCGGTTGGTACGAGCCAGTCGATACTTTCCCGAGCATGATGCAACTGCCGAAAGTTGGATCAGAATAGTAATCGAGGTTAGTAGAACTGTTTCTAAATTGGAATTTGGTTCTTCAAAGATATAAATTGCGCATATGGCGTGGAAGGATAATCGATCGAGGCGAAATGTTGGTACATATTTTTCGGCTACAAAATTTTAAAGCAACTTTTATCATAAGATCGTCCTCGTGTGTGTATACACGTATATATTCTTCGAATTTGCATTGTATTTTCGTTGCATCCGCTTCAACTGCCGTCTATTGAAGCGCATTCGAGTGGGGCAGACCGGATGATGCTAGCCATATGTTTCGTTTGTATATTCACCATAGGAGAAACAGTGAGAAAAGAATCGCAAAATATTTCTCCTGGGACTCAAGTATTTTCCCCTCGCCCTGAGAGAAACGTTTCACGACACTTTCCCCACTGTTTCTCCAACAATAAATACGTAAGCGAAACACACAGCTAACAGGACCCAGGGGTCAATTTGACCTGGTCCCTATTCGACAGGCTCGACCACAAAGACACGCACAACGTTAAGAACCGGGAAATTACGCAGCGAACGATTATCCGACCGAGATGGTCTCGCTGACAAGCAGATCTTTGGCCAAGAGGAGTCTATTGGAAATAGCCGCGAGAAACCGTCATTGCGGAAACGAGGTGTCATTAGTAGAGAAAGGAAACGCCGAGAGTCCGCCGGCCAAGGTTTGGCCACGTGAACTCTCGTGGACGAGCGGCGCGACGCGTGCTTCTGGCGCAAGAACGATAGCCCAGCGGGACGGGCAGGTCGCTGGAAAGAGCGCGTAAGACAAGAAGCCGAGAACACTCAGGCAAGGAACGAGCCGCGCAGACGAGGAAGCAGGGGTGAAGACGGAAGAGAGGGACGGGCTTAGAATAAGAAAACAGGTCGGAGCCACGCGACCAGGCCGCGCGCCCAACTTCCCCCTCCACGAGCGGGGCCGCGGCTTTCCCGCCAAAAACCGCGCGCAACGCCGCGAGAGAGCGGCGCGGCGGATCCGCACTCCCACCTCGCGGTCGCGGCTACTCCGATGGCGCAAAAGTTCGCGTATCGATATCGCGCCACAGCTAATCTTCGACGTTGGACCTCTCTCCTCGATCTCTTAGTTACCGCGCCGGCCAGTCGAGACCTGAATCGCTCGACCGTCCGCGGCGAGGACAGCCTATCGTTGCATAATTCGTTTCCCGTCTCCTGCGAACATCACGTTGCTATGCCATATTGAGTTATGTGTAAGAGGTATTTTTAGACCGGACGCACGAGCGTCAAAGCCGAGAAAACGCCGCCGGCCGACCGGCCGAAAGACGTCGCGCGGGTATGTCCCTTTCCCACGGAGTGCTCGAAAATGCGCTCGCGCGGCGGCAGAAAATTTCCGAACGGGCGTCGCGCGTGACTCATCTTGCCTCATGCATATTCCGCGGTCGCGTAACGTCTCGATTGAATTCGCGCGCGCGCGCGCGCGCGCGAACACGAGCGCGCCCAATATCGCCGATACATCGAGGAGGTGCGCTCCGCCGACACTTGGCGCGGAAAAAAAATGTTGCTCACCGTGAATGCTGGTCTGCCTTGAATACGGATTACTATTCCGTTTTTTGTTGCACGCTGGCTCGCTCCTCTCGTTGGTCCGTCTCTGATAATTGTTCTCCTTATCTTCGGCGCAGGGATCCACTCCCCATCGCTTGGCGAACTTGCTCCTCTCCTCGTCCAACGCCTCCTGGAGCAGCTCGATGGTCTCGCGGGAGCTCGGCCGGCCGAACAAGCAGCGTGGTACTCGCGAGGCCATGGTCGTGTTGGGCAACACCGTAACGTAGACTTCGCAGCAGATCGAAGCTACCAGCATTTCGAGAACCTCTGTGGCGTTTTCCAGCGGGTGCGTGTGGTCGAGTCAAGCGAGAACGGATTTTCCCGTGCGAGTCCTTATCGATCCCGACAATTGCCGCCGCTTTCCCGCGCAAAGTGCACGCGCTCGGCTGGGCGCGACAGGTACGACGCGCCTTCGCGTACTTCGCTCGATTCTGCCCGTTTCTGCCCGCCGACGGCTGCCGCAGGTCCGGTAGATTCGCCAGCCGCGCGAATTCGCTCGATCCCGTCGACTTCTCTGTGATGATTCCTCCCGAACGCTCGACGACCGCTCTCCGCAACGTCACGCACCTACCTCTCGAAATCGGGCGGACGACCGGCGCAGTCCTCACCGTTTCACGGCCAAACTCGTTCTACTCGGAACCTTCCGGACGGCGAAACCAGCTCGTTCACGTTGTCCGTTTAAGCGGAGCCACGAGGTCCGGTGGCTCCCACCACCAGTCGCGGCAGTTCAAATCTGATTGGTGCGCAGAGCGAACTGCGCGGCAAAAATGGCGCGAGTTTTTCTTCGCGTCGTCCTTGTCGCGTACGCGGCCACCGAACGCCGTCCGTTTCCGTTCCTTTGAACGCGCGCGCGTGCGCGCTCCACGTGTCCCCCCACCACCTTGTCCTCGTTCGCTCGAGAGCGTCCAACGGATTATGCTAAGCGATCTCTCGCTCGCCGCGTGGAAGGGAAGAGCCGAGTACGCAGTGTCGAGCTTACCTTCTGCCTTTTCTTCTCGTTCTTTTCCTTTTCTCCTCTCTCCTCCTTTTCTTTTTTTTTTATAAGTAGCGCCTTGTATAGAGTGATCACGATCGTGTTTCGAGACGAGCTTTCTGCCTTCGAATTTGTTTCCGAATCGAGCCACCGTGTATGTGTGTGTGTGACCGATCGCACGTGAGAAAAGTGCGTTGTCAGAATCTCTGCCTCTCTCTCTCTCTCTCTCTCTCTCTCTCTCTCTCTCTTTCTGTTCCCACTCTCTCTCCTCCCCTCTCCCTTCGTTCTTATATTTCTTTCTATTTTTGTTTCATAATTTATAATCTTCTTCCCCTATCTGTTTAATAAACGTTATTCGGTTATTCTGTATCTCTGTTGGAAAATTTCTATATTAATAAAATTTCGATATTAATCACTTTTTGAGGAAAAAAAGAAAACGTCCAGTGAGAAGTTTGCGAGAAGTAGCGCTTTTGGCGAAGGTTTATGATCGCGTAAGCGCGCTCGCTAATAAGATTACCGAACAATTCGTTCAACTGTCGTGGGCACGGCTGCCTCTGGCATTTTTGCGGCAAGTTTTGCAGCAAGAAGAAAAAACGGTCAACCGAGCAGGTGAAGCAGACGGAGAGCGAGAAGGAGAGGGAGAGACCAAGTGGAAGTAAGTTCCAGGCGGAGAATCGCCCTCCGAGTCGCCGCAAATCTTTCTCAGGCACATAGAACTTTTGGCACGACGTATAAATAAGCCGTCGTAACAGTAATTATGCGGTTTTCGCACGATTAATTTATCGTGACATACGAAGAATACGTCGCATTGTACAGGCAGTGGCAGAAAGATTGAAAGGTTTTATCTCAATAAAAATTTCAAAACGCATTTAGCATTCGCTATAGGAAAGTTTATTTCATGGAAATTGCACACTAATTTACAACTTCTCCTTTATCGAATATCGAATACGTTCTGAAATTCGTCGAGGTGAATACGTTACAAAATTTCTTCCACTGACTGTACATTTGATGACGGAAAGATTGCAACGCTTTTATCTCGATGAACTTCAGAACACATTCAGTATTCGGTAAAAGAAATTAATATCTTGAGAGTTGAAAAGCTAAAAAGTAAATTCTGTTGTTGAATACGAATTGCAAAATTTGTTAAAAATAAGAGCGTTGCGACCTTTTGTCACTAATTATTCGCTCGCTTACCGCTATATATATTTTCACAAAATCGATTCTTCTCGCTTCTGTTTTTTCTCATTACTAACTATCGTCGCCTTGTTTGAAATTATAAACTTGTTTGTGAACAATGTAATTGCAATTTGAAACTAAATTATTTGTGAACAATGTAATTGTGAAAATAATGTACTCTTTGAAGATCGTCGAAAGAAATTTTATTTTGGATTTTTGGATATTGGATGCTTTGTAGACTCGACAAGACTTGAATGAATCTTAATGGAAAACTTTTAATTTTATATCAATGCAGATTAATTTCAAGGAGGCAAAAATGTTGCAGACTTTTCCATCACTGGCCGAACAAATCAGAGTTCAACGACACGAAAAGACATCACTGATACTCTCACGAGGAGAAAGAAATTCTGTAAATCTCGGCGTTATTCTCACGAGTTATTGTTTCGAACGTATCCTCTCTCGACCTCTCGTTCCGACACGGCGGCTGCATCTCCGACGAAACGCCGACTTCCTCCTCGCTTAAACGCGGGAACATCGATATCCGAGGGGGATTTCGAGTTTCGAGTCCGCACGTTCCCCATTGGGTTGCTACTTCCGGCCTCGGTCAGCCAGACCGGAACACGCCGGGGCTCTCGGGTACACCGTGACGTCAGAGTATCGTCAAAAATTAGGGAGAAACCGATCTGCAGGGGTCCCGCACCAGGATGTAGTTAATACCGCGACTTTAGCTCGCACCGAAGACGATTACCAGCCCGGTTATCATTTTCCACGCTTATGAACGGCATAATGGGAGACACGCTCACGAGGCATGCGGTACGATTTTTGAAAATGCCGTAGACTACGTATTACCGCGAGCGTTGTGGAACGTTCGATTTAATTTACTTTCGGCGAGAGTCCGCGAAACACTCGCGAGTTATTCGAAAAATTCCGAGATCGCGTAACATTGCGCGCCTAACATCGTTTTAATGCTGTCAAGATTCCAGTCGAGAGTCTCTGGTATTACCTGTGCAAATGAATAATCCAAATCTTTCAGCTAAATTAAAGATTTATTTTAAAAGAAACAAATGTTTCAATCAAAGTATTCGCTGTTGTTTTCTATTTTCTATCTATGTAAATTTAAGCCGTTTTTCAGGCAGCTGATGAATTCCATGTCGGAAAAATGTTGTGTCTTTGGACACGTTAAAGTCGTCAAGCCATTTTCAGATCTCATCCATTGATTTGAAGTGCGTATCGGACAAGGCATGTTGCATCGACCGGAACAAGTGTTCGGAAATCGTTAGGGGCGATGTCTGGTGAACATGCCGGGTGCTGCAAGACGTCCCAGCCAGGACTCATTATGATGTTTTTTGTCTTAGAAGCAATGTGTGGCTTAGCGTTATAATGCAACAATTCCACAGGACGTTCTCTTTTGCTGCTATACGAGCGTTTTCGTTCCAATTCTTGACTCAAATGGATTAATTGATGTTGGTAGCGGTCCGCAGTAATTGTTTCGGTTTTCGGTTTTAATAGCTCATAATAAATCACGTACTTCATATCTGATCAAATGCAGAGCAGAATCTTCCTTCCGAAGTGTTTCGGCTTTGCGACCGATGTTGATGGTACGCCGGGATTTATTCATGACTTTCTGCATTTCGGATTGTCATAGAGTATCCACTTCTCATCACCCGTAACAATTTTTCACAAGAAAGACTTCCTACGCTGCTTATTGAGAAGAGAAAGACACACTGCCACTTGTTGACTTTTGTTGGCTTCAGTAAGTCCATGCGGAACCCACTTTCCTTCTTTCTGAATCTTGTCCATCTCGTGTAGGTGTTTGAAAATAGTTTGTTGCGTTATTTCTAATAGCTCTGCAAGCTCTTTTTGCGTTCGTGCTGAATTCTCAGCAAGCAGTTGCTTCAAATCATTATGACCGCACTTTCGAGGATCTCTAGGACGTTCTTTGTCACTCAGACTGAAATCGTCGCTTTTAACCCTTTCACTGTTAGTGGGAAGTATACTTCCCACCTGTTCTTGGTTCAATTTTATGTTGTAAATCATATAATTTTGAAAAACTAATCGGGGATTTGAGTTTTCCAGATAACTGAATAGTTGTTCAACATATTCCAATAGATTTTTATACCCAACTATTCATTTGTGATTATTTATAACAAATCAAAGTTGAAAAAAATGCTTTTATCGGGGAAAAGTCAATTCCTCGGAGAGTATTGAATGTAGAGGTCTGAAATTTTCACCAAATATTTTTCTGATGTTGTACAAAAACATATATTTTTTTCAGTATTCTTTGCAGGTTAGATTTTTTTTTATAAACAAATATTTCTACAAAAACGGCGGAAATTTGATTTTTTTGCACTTTTTAGCTATTTTCCTAGTTTTTTCATTTTGTATCTCCATCTTATCCATACTATCAATATTATTTTACTCAAAAGATTCGTAATCAGCGATTCGAAAAATCCATACATCATCACCCATACATCATCAATAATAATCGGAATTTTTATCAATTTCGTACATTATGGTCGCCATATTGAATCATTTTGAATTTTTTTGAATTGAGTCATTTTGAATTTTGCAAATCTGACTTCAGATTCGTAATTAGCGACCCGAAAAACCCATACACCATCAATAATAATTGGAATTTTCAATAATTTTGTACATCATGATCGCCGTATTGAGCCCGCCATTTTGAATTTTGTAAATTTGACTTTAGATTCGTAATCAGCGGCCCAAAAAACGTAGGACTATCAAATATTTTAATAATTTTCTCAAGGGAAGTTAATTCAGCAGTGAAAGGGTTAAACCGTCTAAACCAAAATGCATACACATCATACGATACAACACCTTCGCTGAGAAAGGAACAAATCGATTCGCAGCATTTTTTTCTTGTTGGAATTCGTAAAGAATGTAGTGTTGGACATGCACCTTATCTGTTGCAATTTTTCACTGTACTGAACTAAATAATTGTTGAGGTTATGTTGAACCTCCTGCTATGTAAATGTAATTTTAATAGCTATATGTTAACACTACATAACTGTAAAAGAGCTGGAAAATTTAATTGTTTGAAGTTTAATTTCTTAGCCGCTTAAAAAAGTTTAGATTATTCATTTATACACCTAATATTATCCGGATATCCTTGAAAATATTCAACTACTCATTCCTCTTACTATTTCTTCCAACTTCTTCTTCGAGCAATTCTAGGTAGAAAAATATAAAATATAGGTGAGAGCGGAAAACACAATACTTTACACAATATTTAATTTTTATACCAGTATGTGTCAAAATAACATACGGGAGTATTTATATTTTTCACCTCAGCCTTATCTCGATACTTCTACGCGCAGATTAATGAGGGAGAATGTATTATTTACGCAAAGAAAACCATACGCTTCCGTTCAATAAGAATTTTCAATTTCGAACACTCGGAATTGTATTGACAACTTCACTTCTTACTCTCTGGGATTGCTTTGATAACAGTGTTTGGCGCGCAATTACAACGCGTTTACTTTTACCTAAATTGCAGCTAAAACTCGAGTACAACGGAGCATACGTTGAAGAAACGCGTCGAAGCACACAATCGCCTCCGAGTGCGCGTTCAATGTTTCTTTCAAATCGATCCTCTGGTTCTCAGCGATCGTGACCGATCGGCTCTCGGAGGAAAACGCCTTGTGAAAGGATATTCAACAGCTGACACTCCGGCGGGGAGAAAGTAAGAGAGCGAAAGACATCGGACGAAACGGACGAACGAAGAAGTCGCGAAGAATAAGGCACGAAAACAAGGTTCGAAGCTCTACCCTTTAGCCAGCGGCGCGAGCACCTGGCAGCATATGCGTCAGGTTAAAATGGAAGAGGACAAGCGTCCTCTCTCGTTCCGTGAATTCTTTGCACGCTCGGGAGCGGCCGAAAAGTGCGGAATCAGAAAATGCGCGTGCGCGCGGCTTTCTTCGCGCGTCGAAATTAACGGGAGCGCGCCGTGTGTCGACGCGGATGGCTCGGTCAGCTGTTACTTGTGATTCATGCCGAGCACGTATCATCGGCGGACGACGAACGTCTACGAACGTTACGGGGTCCCTGCTTCACGCTCTTGCGTTCAGCTTCTTCTCGTCGATCGCGAGTAGGAGCCTCTTAACCTCTTAACTGCTAATGACGGAAATATCCGCGGAAAGGAAAGTGGGCCAAACTGTTAACCAGTTTTTTACTGCTAAAGGCCATTACACACAAACGAACTTAAGCAGCAAGACGTGCAAGCAGTAAGCAAATCGATCGATCACAATCGAAATTTAAGGATGCCATTTTAAAACTTACGAGAATAATTGATTGTGATTGGTCAGTTTCTTTACTGCTTAAGTTCATTTGTGTGTGATGGCCTTAATGACTCAAATGTGAGCACCATGAATAGCACCAATCTGCTACGGATTTACATTGAACTTGATACGTCCACGCTTTTTGGGTCGCCGACTGTGAATCCGGAATCAAATTTAGGAAATTTATAACGAACCCAATATGGCAGCGATGGATTCTGTCCTCTCGTTCAGTTGGGGAGTAAATTTTCCCACGTTCTATGAAGGGTCTAGCTCTCGTTTTTCAAGAAATTTTGTTATAAACTATGTATAAAACAATACATGAATATTCAGAACTGACTTTAAAGAAAATTTGTCCCTGGGATCCGTAATGAATGATTCGAAAAATATTATACTAGTTTTGAGTGCATACCCAAAATGAAATAACAAAGTTTGAATGTCTTGAACCAATCCGTTATCTGCGACCAAAAAACATGCCGAGTTTGATACGTATCCGTAATAAAGTATCAAAGTAGCTACTTGGAGCTGCCATATTGAATTTTGAATTCCGTCACTTACAGCTAAAAAGTTAAACAGTTTGCGCGTTTGCTCCAACTTTTCCGAGGAGCTTCGCAGGTGAATTTGCTTTAATAAGTAACTTTAATGGTAGAAGTCATCATTTCTTCGGCATGTTCTCAAATCTATATCTAATAGATATGTGTGAATTTTTGAATAAGTTAATGTTTCGATATGTAGTAGAAACGTTTTCTTCAGAAAAGGAAAAAAAATATCAGTTAACTGAATAGAGACGAGACGAGAATTCGATGGCGAAAAATGATGTATTGTTATCACGTTTGGAAACATTCGTCTGAATATTTAGCTGTATTAAATCGATTGGTTAATTAGAAACTTCTTTTTGTAAGAATCTTTCTTTCTTTGCAATCAAGTTTTTCATTTCATTTTTATTCTTCCTAGGCAATGGAAAATTCATTTACACCAACGAAATTATTCTTCCTGTACATATTTCAAGATTTTAGCTACAATATAGAAACACTTGTTTCCATAAATTTATAACTAATAAAATATATATTAATACACAATATATCATAACTTTTTTCCTATAATATTAATACAATTAGTAAAATATAAATAAATATTCTATTTGTGTCAGCATAATAGATATAAGAATTTACTAATGCTATTGTGGTGCTCGCAATATAAAATGATAAATTATTCATAAAGGGTAAAGCCATCTTAATGTATAAAAATAAATGAGATAATTTTCAAAGCGGAGCGGAATACAAAATATAAGTCAAGTTTGTTGACTCTATTAAAATTTTATTTTAAAGAACATTTTTCGTTTATTAAACAATTATTGTGGAACAATAAATGACGATTGACTCACTTTACTTTCAAAACAGCAACAGTCTGGTCTCTAATTTATGTGTTAATTACGCAGAAAGATTTTTTTATGATTACATAGAATATTCTGCAATAGCGCTGAATTATTGTGCACAATTTATTAGAACACAAGAATAATCAATCACTGTGTATATCCCGCACTTATAAATTTTGGTTAGGCCAACGGTCGGATGCTTGGAGGACATCGACGTGGAGATGTTTGACGTTCCAGACGGAAATACGTCGGCGTCTGTATATCGTCCGTGTTGCGCTTGTCACAGGCGACAGGGATAAGTGGCGAAGGGGGTGCACGCGGACGCAGCTGCCGCGGGATGCGGCGCATTCTCTGGAAATTCAAAAATTTCCTCTACGACGTAAATAGAACGTGCGTTCATGCGGATACTACGTTTGCCGTGAAAGAAACGTAGAGAAAGAAAGAAATACAAGCGGGCTAAGCGGACGGGTTGGCACTACGAGAACTTGAGCCGTCAATTAGCGGATAAATATTAAATTAGTAATGAACCGTAGCGAGTCCGAAAGCACCTCTCGACACGTGTGTGCCACAACGTCAAGCAATTGTATGCCCAATTTCTTCACCCATAGGTAAGTTCTCGATAACATTCATTCAAAATATATCTCGCAGAATCGGTTTTCTTCACTCTTGTAAAGTCTGTAACCGGTAGATAAATTTATTTTCTATGGGCCGGTTGTTCCAACCTGTTGGTAAGTTAACTGATAGTTAAATCACATGTCTGTCTTTGTCTAAATTAAAGCAAAAACGAAGATAAATTTATAATTTAACTATCAGTTAACTTATTAAGAAGTTGGAACAACCGGCTGTATCCGAGGTAGCGAATATCTGATGGATATTGATCTCAGTGTCTCAACGTAACCTAAAAAATTATAAGAGTACATAATCGTTGCTGTTTTTATGGAAACACAAACGTAATAAGGGATTTATTGCTTGTTGGGGAATATCAATATTTTTATCAATATTTCTGATAATGGTGATGATGATGATGTATTTGTGGGCTTTACACAATAAGGAATAAAACGAACACAATTTTCAAGTATGGGATGACACCGAATTTTCGAATGATCTTGTTCGTAAAAGGATACAGTGCTTGACATTTACTGCCAGAGTATGGTAATTTATAATAAAATTCTACATACATTTTATGTCGAAAGTTAGTAGTATGAAGAATAGCTGTCTATTAAATAAGTAATCAGAAGCTTCAGTGAAGAAAATGAATTTTTAATTATCTGGCGAATATCTTTATCTACAATAGAAGATAGCTATTGGGAGATGTGAAGAAATCGGACATCAGTTTAATATCCAGTGATTATAAGCCTAATTTATTGGCCTCATTTGGTTAAAATATAATATTAAACCTAGAACGTAATATTTAAAAATGTAATATTTACATGAAATATTAATTTATCAGTGTAATAGCTATAATTCATCTATAATATTAAGTATATAATTCCGTGATAATTATATTAAAGTATACAGGATGCACAAGAATTCTGTACAGCGGAGATGTTGTGAAACTGAATGTTTGGAGAATTTCAGGAAGGGGGAAAGATATGTAACACAGCGTAATACAATATAGCGGTTTGACACGCATTAAATATAAAAAGTGTCCCGGATCCAATTTTCCCGAAGCAGAAAAGTTTGTCCCGACGACTATTACTCCATATACATAAACACAGGTGTATTACAATAATATCCATCCACTTGAGTACACATTTGCATTACTCAAATGGGTAGACATTAAAATGCACTCAGCTGTGTGATGAGACAATTCCAATATATCGACAAAGTTGTATTCCAGAACATTGTCTGGGCTGGCATACGGGTGTTTCGGTATTGCGGAAACTGTTCGGATTTCGGCGCTTCAGGAAATTGCCCCATCTTTTAAGTATCGATATAATCTATTGTACTTGGTCTTAGGTAAAAGGGCTACGATTGTGGCCATAAATAAAAACGCGGGATATTATAACCGTTCAGATTGGCATGCATCATTTTAGGATCTCCAGCAGACCCGGGCGAACTTGCAGGAACGCAACAACTAAACAGCCACTAAATTTCGATTTACATTTTTCCCCGGGACAACGCACGTCGATTCGCGATCTCGATCGAAACGCTCGCGTCTCTCCAAGTGCGCGCCCTCGAGAGCCGCTCGTGTCGCGAATGCGATCCGACGTCGAGATATGTCGGCCAGCGATACGTCCTGTATATCAGACTGAAGCGGCCGCAGGGTAATCGCGCCATTTTACCCACGGCGTAAAAATCGCGCGCGCGCACCGGAGCGAGGCGGACATTTAACGCAGGATGTTGGCCCTACACTTTGTAATCCGTGCGTGCGCCGTCGCGCCGTTTATTTTTCTCCTCACCGATGCGCGCCGCGTAGCCGCATCGCGGCTGTGTGTCTGTGCGTGCGCCTGCCACACGAGACCGGGGGACGGAGAGAGCGGGGAAGGGGCGAGAGGCAGGGAGAGAAATTAGCCACTTTTCAGAGTGACGGTGACACGGTTTCACGACGACGACGACGACGGCGCTGCCAAGGTCGACGGCGCAATTTCAGCCAATTTAGATCACGCCCACTCGGCCCGTGCGCATTCAAATCGCCGCGCCGTCGAGAGAGACGGCAATTTCGCGCGAGCTCGCGTCTTCTCCGTTTCCCCGGACAGCGGATTCGCGTACGATCGCGCAGGAGTGCCCTCTGAAAATGAGATTCCATTATCCGTTCGACGGAGACGCGAGCGCGAGCTGGACGGAGCCGAAGGAGCCGGGGCGTGAGGTGAGAGCCGAGCACAATGCGGGAGGAAGGCGTGACGGCGAAGCTTTTCGAATCTCCGGCGATCCAGCTGCCCGTGTCTACCTCCGCGTGCGCGCTCCTCAAAGCCTCCACCTCCGCACGATAGTCGGCTCAGATAGGGCCTGAATGCGTGTGCTGGTAGATCTGTCGACAAGCTGCCACCGGACGGCCGGGTTGGAACAGCTGTTTCGTGCGCTAGAAGGAGAGTCTTGTGAATGTTTAAAGATCCGTGCATCTCGCGCGTGTTTGCGTTTTCTCCGCGACGGGAGAAATCCGCGTCAGGCCGCGGCGACCTCGACATCTCTCTCTCTCTCTCTCTCTCTCTCTCTCTCTCTCTCTCTCTCTCTCTCTCTCTCTCTCGCTCGCTCGCTCCGTCTCAAGCTCGAAAATAACGTGGTCTGTCGGTCTCTTCTTCCGCCGCGCCTTCGACTCTGCAACCCGTCGCACCGTGCAATTGCAACGTGTGCGCGCGTTCTAAAGATAGGCTTTTCCGCACGAAGGCGGAAAGAGGAAACGCGCGGAATAGCCGGTGCTGTCGCGGATAAGTCCCTCTTTCTCCCTCTCCTTGTCTCTCGCGGCCTCCTGAGAGCGCGATTCCCGCCAATTTCTCGGCGGATGCTCGCGGCGGTGTAACGGCCGTTGGTCCGAGATGCTTCGAATGTGGCAGGTGCAACTCGGGCCAAACTTCATTAAACACAATCCCATCTGCGCCCTCATACTTCCAAGGCGTCTCGTGGCCGCCGTAACTTTTCGAGGACGGAAGAGAGCAAGAGACAGAGAGAGAGAGAGAGAGAGAGAGAGAGAGAGAGAGAGAGAGAGAGAGAGAGAAGGGAGAGGGGAAAAGGGGTGGGAGGGGGAGAGAAAAAGAGCCCTAGCAACTCCTGAACCTCCGCTCGGTATATCTGCTCGTTCTTTTTCCTTCTTTTTTTCTTTCATCTTTGCTCACGAGACGGGCAGATTGACTCGTCGGACGGAGTTGCTTGAAACTACACGCTCTCTGCGTAACAACGACTGAATCGTGACAGGTGTCTGTCCCCGTGTCCATCGTGAGTGAGAGAGACAGAGAGAGAGAGGGGGGGAGGGGAAGAGCAGGTCGCGTTTAAACAATTCAAGTATTTCGTCCGAAGTAGAAAGTAATTGCCGCGTTTATGGAAAATATCGAGTCTGCGGTTCTTGCGTAGAGGACACGCATGCGAGACCCTTAAAGCTGAAACATGTCCTGATCTGATGCTCGGACGTGATCGTCCGCCCGTGCGCTGATCACTCGGCGTTAGGATCGAAGAACAAGAGAGACCACAGTTGACGGGGCCGAGGATGCGTCTCTTGCGCTGATGCAAGAGACGTGATCGCGACGTTGGAAAAAATATGGAACGGGCCATATCGATTCTCGGGAAGAAGAGATGGCCACGTGGCTGGTTCTTGAAGCGCGCGTGCCTGGTCGCTTGGAGCCTGCGGAGATT